AGAGAGAGAGAGAGAGAGAGAGAGAGAGAGATGCAATAAACTGCAGATTCCCAGCGGGCTTTTCTTTTTATTTTTTTAAGAACAAAAAACAGGTCCTTAAGGTCCTGGCTCCATTTCCATTCTGGGGAGCATCTGTCCGGTTCCTATTCCACCCTCAAGTCAGAATAAATATTACGTCATGAACCCACGTATGCTTCCTTCCATCTGGGGGAAGGAACCCTGACCAGCATTGATTACTCCAGCATCGTGGAGGATTGACTGTCAGCTTGCCGTGCTTTTCCCTTTCCTCTCAGGTCCACTATAATGGCCTGTCAGATAGAACATAAATGGCAAGAAAGGGCCTGGACGCTACGAAGGCTGCCAATTCTGTCTAAACTCTGATCCCCGCCCATTATGCCTCATGAGATCCTTACCAGTCTGAGCCCTGTTTGCCTTGATTGTCTAAAACCCTAAACCCTAAACCCTCAGCTATAGTTTTAATGAGACTCCTAATTGTGCGGTTCCTTTCCCCCGCCAAGTCATAAGATACAAGAGTTCACACACCAACGCTTCCTTCCGTCTGGCCGAAGGACCCCTGAACAGCATTGATTGCTCCTATCATATGGAGGATTGACTGTCAACTTGCCATCCATGTAGGAATCCTCTCAGCTATTGCCAGTGTTTGCTACCCTTAGCTGCCACATTCACTCTGTGAAAACAAGATTCCTGAAGGACGGACTACGGAGTTCTTCCATTCCTTTGCATGCTGTCGTCCCCTGAATTCTTTGGTGATCTGTTCCCTGTGAAACATCGTCTGCTGTTCGTGTATCTTGGACGTTCTTCTAGGCCCAGATTGGAGTTGGTTCCTCCTGCACCTGGGTATTCCGCTGAGAAACAGGCTTGACCGAATTATGCCACTCTTTCCATCTTAAAACCTGCCCATTCAGCCATGCCACTTTGCCCCCTACCAACCACACCCGTATGAATTTGGCAAGTGTCACCTGTTCTGTCTCCGGACTGTTTTGCATCCACAGTTTGACCTTCCTCCAATGACACAGGATTTCCGCTTCAATCATCTCTTTGATTGCTGCCCACACTTTCTCCCGTGGATTCTTCGTGCCGTCCAGAGTTCTGGTGCATCTCTCTTTCCATATTGCCAAGAGCGTGACCTTGCGTACCATACCGAACCAGATTTTCTCCGACTTGTCAAGGTTAGAGGGTAAGTTAGTCCAGAGGAGCAGTTGAAGGGGGTGTTCTGGGAGGGGAGACGAGAATAGACTGTCCCATAGGGCTGCCGCTCCAATAATCTGTAGCTTCTTTGCAGTTAATCTGGCAGTGTATCAAATCTTCCTGTTCTTGGTCTGAGCAAACCGTGCAGACATCCGTGCTGGTTGGGTCGTTCTTTCTTCTTCTAACATGTAACCACTGGTTAACCAGTAGAGCAACGTACGTTATGAGCCACTGCATGCTTCTGATTTTTATGGGTCTTATCGTTTTATATTTCTTCCATGGAATTTTTGCTATCAAGTCTGTCTCAGAACCAATTAGCTTGAGCCATCTTCCTTTGATGATCGGGTCTGGGTCCTTTGTTTTAACAGCATTTTATAGCCTAGCTTAACTGTGTAATCAGAAATTGGGATTGGTGGTTTAGTAGCTCTGTTTCAGTCGGAGGGCCAAGCCCATTCTGAGGGCTCAAACTCGAGGTCTTGAATTGCTGTCCTTATTTGAAATATCTGTTATGGCCAGAGTCTTACAGCTCTTATTTTATGGAGCATAAACGCATTCAGCACTACTCTTTCTGGGTTGATGTTCTGGATGTACAGATCATCAGGCTTGGTCTCCAGGATCAGGAAGGATGTGAAGACATCTCTTGGACCTGAACCTGAGATTCGACGGGAAAATTGGTAAGCCTTCTCATGGGAGGTGTCTTGGATTAAGATTCCCCACTCACCCGCTTTCCACGTGAATTCCTCCTTTAGTAGCTCAACCCAGCCCCCAGGGATGCTCTGTATAATCTTGCAGGTTTTCTTCCCTGTGGTGGCAGCCTTTCAGTCGAGCTCTGATCTCGTTTTCGTCCAACCAGTTTTTCCTTTCCTCATTCCAGATGTCCCCTACTCACCAGACCCCTTGTGTGATCCACGATAGTCATCTGTTGCCTCTGGCGGAGAGTGCCCACGAGTGGTCTCCCTCATCTCTGATCCAAGGGTTCCCAAAGAGAGGTTCCTCTTTGGACCTGGGTTTGTTTCGTTTCTCGGGCATGATCTCTCTCCAGATACGTATAAGGGCCGTCCAATAGGGGGGAGGTGTCTGGTGCGAAATTGGGGGAACGCGGCTTCTGTGTCTTCTCCTCCCTGATCTTGGATTCCAGTCTTTGTTCATGACCCAGAACGGTCCGGAGATGTTAGAGGGGGACTCCGTTGGGGCCAGATTTCTGATGCTGTCTTGTGCTAATTTGTTCCACGGCAATGATTGTTTGGTCAGTAGCTTAATGACCCACTTGATTTGCAGGGCTTTTGTTTCTTGCTTGGGGTCAATAATGCCTAGTCCCCCCAGTGATGGTTTCCTTGTGATATTGTGCCAGGCTATCTTTGGAATGTAGTTCTCTTTGTTAGGGTCCCCTGCCCATAAGTAGGCTCTGGTTTTCTTGTTTAGGTCTTTGATGGTCTGGTCTGGTATAGTCCAAATTGAGGCTATGTACCTCATTGAGAATATGGAGGTGTTAATGGTAAGTGCCCTCCCCAATAGTGATGTAAATGCTTGATTCCACTTCCCCATTTTGTTGATTTGACCGGCTAGGAGATTTTGTGCCATTTGGGGAGCGGGGCCGTCTTTTGTCACTTGAATCCCCTAATATCTCGTTGGTTCCTCCGGTTTCTCCCAAGACATCTGATTCTTTGGACCTTAAAGTTGCGGGATGGGTTCGTCGGATAGCCACCACCTTATAGTCTTTACCCAATTAATCTTCATTGTTTATGCTAGTCTAAACGCTTCCATTGCTCTGACTAAGGCTGCCATGGACGAATTGGAGGCCCGTATCAGCACCGTTAAGTCATCCGCGAACATGATTATTGTAGGAAACACGACATGGTGTGAGGCGCCCACATTCATTTCAGGTTGTGTTTGGATAGAAGGGTCTTCACGAAGGAAAGAAGCTATGGCTTCCATAACGAATAAGAAAATAGGTGGTGCTAGTGGATCGCCTTGTCTTACCGACCTGGAGATTGGGTAACCTTCAGATAGCAGATCGTTGATCTGGGCGCATCCGGAGGCATTGTTGTATAAGACTCGCACCCACTTCCTGAAGTTGGGACCTACCCCCATTCTTTCCATACTTGCCTCGAGGAAATCCCAATTTACCTGGTCGTAGGCTTTTTCAAAATCGAAAAAAAGGATCGCTGTGCTGATTTTTTTATCCATCACTTTCTTGGAAGCCTCGTTGAGGGTCATTAGATTATCCAGGATGTACCTACCTGGTATAAAACCCGACTGGTCTATGTGGAAGCATTTGTCTGTCACGTCCAGTATGTGGAAGGCTAGGGCCTTGGCAAGTATTTTATAGGGAAGTGTAAGTGAAGGTAATATATGTCTGTAGTTTTTTTTGTTTTCTCGGTCACCCTTCTTATAAAGAAGTGTAATCACACTGGTACTGAGAAGTTTGCCCATACCCTCTTTTTCCCAGCTGTCGTTATAGAAATTGGTAAGGTCCGATCCCAAAAGGGACCAAAATTTATCCCAAAATTCCTTTGTCAGTCCGTCGATGCCTGGAGTCTTGTTATTGTTCATGTTCTGGACTGCTAATTGAAGCTTTTCTATGGATAATGGTTTATCCAATTTGCTTGCTTGATTAGGTATTGTAGCATTTTGGATCTGGCCGCTCGAGTGTTGGGGGGCGTGGTTGTTGGTGTTTTAGATCGATATAGTTCTTCATAAAAATTATTTGCGATCTCTATCATCCCTTCACTGACTGTGCAGGTTGCCTGTTGCCCTGATAACTTCTTGAGACCCTCTATTGAATTGGATCTGTTGTTTGCTTTTATTCTTGAGAAGAAATGCTTTGACATCTGTTCGTTCAATTCGAGGTCAGTGATTCTGGCTCTGATCTGGAGTCCTCTCAGTTCCCACTGACGCCAGACAGCCAGTTCCTCTCGTGTCCTTTCTAATACTTATGTGTACATTGGAGAAGAAGGGTTGGTGGCCAGCTTGTTTTCCGCTACTCTGAGGGCCCGTTTCAAGCATCACTTTCCTACGTTTCCTGTCGTTGGTCATTTTCCTTGATATTCTAGCCGTTGTTTCGGCTAGCTTGAGATAGCTTTTTTGGACCATTCCCATCTGTCCTGACCTGTGATATGGCTTCCTCTGAGATTTTGCCAACTAATTGACATCCCCTCTTGGAATTTTTGACTTAGTAGGAGCGAGTTATTCAGTTTGTGAAAACTGCAGGTTCAAGCCCCATGACCGCCTGCAGCACACTTAGTGCCAACGAACTGGGATAATCCTCTGGATACTCCTGATCGGTATTAGCGGAATCTATGACCAACATGGGTGTGAGTGCGAGCGCGAGTGGGTTGTGTGTGGTGTGTGGGAGAGTGTTGGCCATAGCTACTGCTGATACTCGATGAGGGGTGGGGGACAATGAGAAAGGGAGGCGCAGCTACTGGCAGGTCTCGGTCTTTGTGTTAGCCAGAACCCCACTGGCAGCCCCAACCCTATACCCTAAACATTAGGGGCAAGGGGCAACATGAAATCTCCCCTTCACAGTGAGAGGAAATTATGCTTGCAGGGGTCCCCTCTAGATAGCCTTAGGAGTAAGTAGTGAAAGGCAAAAACAGAAGTTGAGAGAAGAATATAGAAAAAAAAAAAAAAAAAAAATTGCGTCCCTTTTGAATATATTGGTCGAAGCTGATGATTACCTCAATTGGTTTATGGTCAAGGCCTGGGTACGGCGCTCACGCCAGCACGCCCGCTTCCTTGACTGTCCCCATGAGGTGGTCGGAAATGAGGAATTGATCTATGCGAGAAAATGCCGTATGGTGGGCGTGATTTTTCTTGACAAGTGAGAATGCTTTGGTAGTAGGGTGTAAAGTGTGATAGGGGTCTACCAAGTTGTGGTCTAAGATGAGTTTTTGGACGGGGGCTGCTTCTTGAGACGACTGTGGTGGGGCTGTTCTGGATATACGGTCATTGACCGACTCCAGGGTAGCATTCCAGTCTCTATCGATTAAGCAGGCTTGTAAGGGAGGAATTATGTGACCTATAGAATCAATAAAGGCCGATCTGTCATTACGGTCTTTGGGAGCGTAGACACTGATCACTCTGAGTTCTTCATCTTTCCATCTTAAGTCCATGAAGCACCACCTACCCTCGATTTCGTCAGATCCTGTGTTAATTACTATTCTTGCACTGTAGAACTTGGAGATCTTTAGAATTAGGATTGCAGTTCCTTTCCTGCTTGAATTGTTGTCTGAGGAGCACACCGCATCCTTGATCCCTCCCACCTTTCTCATGAAAAAGTTCTGTATTTTTTGTGATCATTGTGGTTAGTTAGATGAGTCTCTTGAAGCATTATAATGTCTGTCATCTTGTTGTTTTCTTGTTTGAGGCCTCTAATTATGTCATTTAGTTTGTTTTCCTTACGTAGGATGTTTCCTAACCCATTGACATTTGGTGATACCTTGAGTCCTCCAGTTGGGTTTGGGGGTGAGGATTTGCTTTATTCCTAAGCCCCTCCATGTTGAGGCCCTATGGTATTTGGGCGAGCAGCTTAATCCATTCAGGAGGTTCCCAGGTCCGGGGAGATTGAGGCATTCGGGTCTGTCTCGGGTGGGTCCACTTTGGTTCCCATCCTGAGGTCATCGATCTTATATTCTCCTGTGCTGCCGCTGGCCTGATGTCCATGGGAACCCACGGGGTCCTGGTCTGTGCGCTCGTCGCCAGCCCAGTCCTCCATGTTCTCCTCCTGGAAGTCATCCCTGTAGAAGCAATCCAGGTCCATGGCATGCGCTCTGGCTTCTAGGTCTGCGTCGTTGTTCAATGTGCCAGCTCTGAGGATGTCCGCTAGTGAGGCTGCCGATAGCTCTGTCGGGATTCCCGGTCCTGACAACACACTGTAGGGAATTGCAGTCACCGTGTTCCATGATCTCCACATCATGCCTCTCTTTAGCCTTGTTTCCTCTGGCATCTTGGCGATCAGGGGGGTGAATGAGCTCTGTCTGGAGTCTGCTATGTCAGTAAGGGACTCTCGCTGATCCTCATGGCGCGCACCCTTCTCTTGCCCCCCACAAAATTCCATTGAGCCTTCGGTCACGTACACGCCCAACGGAAGAGTGTCAGTAATTTTATCCCGGATTACCGACATCAGTTTTGACCGTCTTCAAATAGAGGGATTGCGAACGACACCGTCGTGGCTACTTGCCATTCACCGGTTCCCTCTACATACCGAGCGGCTAACAGAGGCCGCAGTCCCATCATAGTAAGTCTGGCCGATTTGGCTTGTTGAAGTATGTGTGGGGCTTTACCCGCTACTATGTGCTGCAGGGATGTGAATTCCGGTTTGTATGCATCGTTGAGCTTCTGACTTTCTCTGCTTGGGCCTCAATGACTGCTAGATCCAGCTCAAGGTCAGCACGTTCTGTTTTCTTAGCAGTTTCCGTCTGGCCGGGGTTGACTTCCTGCTTCTTTTGTGCTTTGGCAGCTCTCCATTTCTTCGGGCGCAGATCCTGGAAAGGGTCGCCGGGATCCGTGTTGTTCTCTTTTGAGCCCAACTGACCATGTTCTCGGGCTCTACTCTTCTCTGCGTACGAGAATGCAGCATATTCAGAAAATTCTTCTTCTTTTTCCAACAGCTGATATTTGTTGGAGGATGCTTGGATCCCACCGATTGAGCCTTGTATCAGATTCCTCTCTATGTGTTTTAGGCACGCTGTTCTGATGTTGAAATGGTGTTCCCTCTCCCTCTTTGCCTTTTCAATGTACTCACGCAGCCATTGAAGAGACCTGTTGGGAGGGGAGTTCTGGTCGCTGATGGGAGCCGAACCGCACGAACTTTTGTTGTCATCGTTGTCGTCCTCGTCCATTGCCGAGTCTGAGTCTTTAACTGGCTCCTCCGTTGCACAGTTTTGTGGCCTGGTATCATCGCCTTCATCAATGTTTGCCTTCCTCCTCTTTGAAACAAGTTGTCCTCTCACTCTGGTCGGGCTGTTGTCTAAGGTTCGCTTGTTTTCACACTGCAGATTCGACGTTTTTTGCTCATTTACAGTTTTGTTCTCCTTCTCTTTGAGCTCGATTATTTCCTGAGTTCACTTTTGAATTTTTTCCGGTTCTTTGTTGTACTCCTGTTCAGCTTGTTCTCTTACTGAGTCTAGGTCGCAGAGCAGATCCTCCCTTGACGTGGGAATCATTCAGGGGGACAGCATTGATCTTCGTAGGATTACCTGCTTCTTTTAGTTTTGTAATATTTTGAGCTGTATTGGGCTTGATCCCTTGACCTGTCCGTTACTGGGACCCCTCTTCTAACGAGTCCAGTTTTGTAGTTTCCATGTTTTGAGGTCTACGGGCCTCGATCCTTGTACCTGTGACTTGCTGGTGCGCCTCTTTTTGGGTGTCCTAGACCACTACGCCTCCTTCTTTTGTCTTTTCCTGCTTGCTTTTGGGTAATAGGTCATAGTAGAGGTCGTGTCTAGAAATAGGAAGCTGGCGAGGCACTTGGGGGTTCTTTTGCATTTTCTCTTTTCACGTTGGTTTGGAGAGGTCACATTTTGAGAACTGCGCTATCTTAAGCAGCGTAGTGCCTCATCTTCTTCATGCTGCTGGCGACCATAGCCGGGACTGGCCAGCTCCGGTGTTGACAGCATCGGGCTGTGAGCCGTAGGTGCTGACAGGCGCTTCCTCCTACTTGTGTGCCTGTTGGGTTATGGTAGCTGCCATAAAGCAGTTCTTTGTTGTTCTTCTTCATCCTGGGAGCTGCGCTCCCCTGCTGAGTGGACACATCATCTGCAGGTGGGCTTCATGAGTGGTGCAGAGTGACATGTTGGATTTAGGAGGGTGTGTGGTGATTGGCACGCTTGATAGGTTCGGTGCTTACAAGCACCATAGCTAGAGCTTGAGGAAGAGGGAGGAAGAATAAGACTCCTGAATCCTTCGATGAAACCTTGTAAATAATTGGTCCGTGGGTGTTGATAACGTGGTTGGGATTCTTGGGAAAATTCATGTTACTGATTGGATTGGGGAGAGACGGAAACTAGAATTGATTTTCAATTCAATTCTATTTTGGTTTTGTGAGCTTCCGCTCTGTATTTTCCTCATCTGGTTTAGTGTGTGTGGATTGCTCCCTCCAAGCCCGTTTGTCACTGCGCATGTGTATGGGAACGTGTGGATGCCATGTTGGATTTCATTTCAATCAGACACACAACACACACACACACACACACACACACACACACACACACACACACACACACACACACAGACAGACA